ACTACTACCACTACTTCCACTGCTGCTGCTGCTGCTGCTACTACTACTACCACCACTACCGCTGCTACTACTACTGCTACTACTACTCCTACTACTACCACCAACACTACTACCACCACTACTACCACTGCTGCTGCTGCTGCTGCTACTACTGCTACTATTTCTTCTTCTTCTTCTACTACTACTACTACCACCACTACTAATACTAATACTAATACTAATACTAATACTAATACTAATACTAATACGAATACTAATACTAATACTAATACTAATACTAATACTAATACTAATACTAATACTAATACTAATACTACTACTATTGTTATTACTACTAGTATTGTTAGTGCTATCCATATTATGAACAAGTCATTATTCATCATGGCCGAAGCTTTGGAAATCCAAGGAGCTAAAGACCTGATGGATATCGCCATCGGACATTGCAAGCCCTGGGCTTCGCGGCTTCGGTGGCTCGGTTTAGGGTGTAGGGTGTAGGGTGTAGGGTTCAAAGTTCAGGGTTCAGGGATTTAGGGTTCAGGGCTCAGGTGCCCGGGGTTTCGCATGGAGTTGATCCAGAATACCCTCCTCATGCTGCACGCAGGATAGAGCTTGGGGGCTTGCACATACAGTATAAGTCATAGTATAAATGTTTGAACACATCAGTAGCCTTGACATATACAACAAAATAGCAACAGTACGGAGACATACATGAAGTCTCACACGCACAGACACACACACACACACATGCATGCATGCATGCACCTCTTGCAGTCGACAACATTGCCCAACACCAATCATTGCAGCAACAGCGCCAAGAGTATGCGCAATGACAAGAACAGCGGCACAAGCGACAGTCACGATGACAACAGACCGGCAGGCCATCGTTATCATCATTATCATCAGCATCTTTATCCTCATCACCATCATCGTCACGAGCATCAACGTCAACATCAACATCACCATCACCATCAGCATCATAGATAAGTAGCAGCGAGAAGCTTGCTTAAACACTGACATGCTATCCTATTTCCTGTAGTTTTGGATTTAGTTTCAATTTAAGCTTCCCGAAGTCTAGACCACTTATCCCTCTGCCGCCCAAACGACGGTTGGACTCTCGAAGGTTGCTGATGAGGTTCTTGGACACCTCGGCTGTAGGGCGCAATTCATGGGCCTGAGGTGTAAAGCTTTGCCCAATTATGGGTTTAGGTGTTTGAGCCATGGGCTTTAGGACTTATGGCTCAGATGGTTAATTAGCTTCGGGGTTCAACTCTTCAGGGAGCCATTCAAGGGGATGCTGTCATTAGCGTCATCTTCATGCACCAAACACCTGGAGGCAAATGCAGGGTTGGCTACTAAGAGAACAGTCTGAAAGGAAAAATAGCAAATTCTCGGGCATCACCAAACTGTATTACACCTCTCCACGACAGACCCACAGAAGCTAATGGAAACCTTTCAAGGCGGCAAGAACTGCAGTTTGGGAAAAGTGGACTTGCTGCCCCTCGGAAGCGAATGCAAAGAAAAAACTTAAACCCTACATCCTGATCTCTTACTGTCTGGACCCGCATGAAGCAGCTTCTCGGTCACCAGGCCACAGACACCAACTGCGAGTCCAGCAAGACAGCGGTCACTGCACCCCAGCAGTGGGTGAAGTTCCCTTCCCAGTCGTAGCCTAGGGTTTGGGGTTTGGTTTGCGGCTGCATATGTCAACTGTGGAACTCCCGTTGGAAATTGAGTACAAGGTCTCGGGTTCAAACCTCAAAACTTCAAGGCCTTTAGGGCGACGTTGCCCTGCTCGGCCTCGAAGAACCCTGACACACACCCGCACTTTCAAACACAAACTTCAACGCTATGTAAACTCTACAACCTGAACCCCAAACCTCAAACCCTCAACCGGAAGGTACCCGTGGACTCCACCTGGTCCAGAGAAAGTGTTGTTGAAGATATCCAGATGAGAACACGTGTCCACGTCCAGGGACATGCCACAGGTGTCTACCACCTTTGGTTTGCTGCCCAGGTTCAAAGGTTCGGCAGCGGGCTTTCAGGCCGTAAGGCTTAGGAATCTGCCTGTAGGCTTATTTAAGATGTCGGGTCTCGGGTCGGGTTTCAATAATTTATGCTTGGGGTTCAGGGTTCGAGGAGCCTCCTTCTGCCGTTCCACGAGTGGGAATGGAATGACTAGACTGAAGCCTTGTTGAACCTTTCATCCAAATCAAAAAGAAAGCCCTAGGACATGAACCCTCAACCTCGGGGAGTTCCCGAAGCCCTAAACACCGGCCTGGTTGGAGTGGATGAGCCCACCGTCCCAGCTACCACGGCAGAAAAAACCTCCACAATAGCGGAACAAGAGCTTCGGGTCAGGGTTTACGATACTTACGTTTGATGGGCTAAACTTTAGCTCTTGGGCCCTAGCGCTTAAGGTTCACTGAAGGATTTCAGATCATTGAAGGCAGGGGATCACTGAAGGCAGGGTCCAAACTATTTATGCTTTCGGGCAACAAGGGTAAAACCTGCTTGCCTGTAAAGGTGTACATGGCTTTGTAAACTCCTCACAATGTCTTTATCTCACAACAATCTGTTCTGGGATTCTGGGAACGGGTGTTTCAGGGTTTCTTAGCATCTTCCACACTTAGCACCAAAAAAACACAATGCACACCCTGAGTTGTGCGCCGCTCATTTAACTTCAGGAACTACAAAGCGAAGTTGTTTGTAAAGGGTTTTGAGTGGAGGGGCTTAAGCTTCAAGAAGCACCTGGCCACCCGAAAACGAACGGGAAGGATGCGTGCTTTTGGAATTGGGGTCTGAGAACACGCGGGGCAGCAAGTCAGAGATCCCTAATTTTGTCATTTGTGACGCCCTACATTCCTCGGTCTTGGCTGGCTAAACCCTTGTCATTTGTGACTCCCACCGTCTGGCATCACCACACATCAGCTGACCCGAACATGCTCCCAGGCATTAGCAGCTGTGTGATTTCCTGTCGAACCAGCACCTGTCACTGTGGCTCCCACGGCTTTTCCTTGCTTTTGACTGTTTTCTCACACAATAGCAGCAACAACAACAACAGCAGCAGCCATCTGTGACTTCCTATTTTTCTTCTTTTGGACAGGTTCATTCCTGCTGATTCACTCCTTGGGGTCTTCCTCTTCGGTAAAGGGTGCCTGCTGGATTCACTCCTTAGGGTCTTCGTCTCCGGTACAAGGTCCCCGCTGGGTTCACTCCTTAGGGTCTTTGTCTTCGGTAAAAGGTTCCTGCTGGATTCACTCTTCAGGGTTTTCGTCTTCGGTAAAAGGTTCTTGTTGCATTCATTTCTCGGGTGTCGTCTTCGGTAAAAGGTTCCTTTTGGATTCACTCCTGAGGGCTTTCGTCTTGGGTCGAACCTTAGCACTTCCACAACTTGAGTATACTATACTATACGATACTGTACCAACCCCAAGTGGAGTCAAAGCTACAGCATCGTCCTCGGATTCGGTGGTCGCGTCGAGTCCGTCAATCTCCCACCGTGCTGAAAATTCCTACTCCGTGGCTGTGGGGCGGGATTTGGGATGCAGGTTTAGGGATTTCGGGCCTGAGTCTAAGCTGTAGGGCTTTCGGGCTTCAAGGCTTTAGGGTTTCGAGTAGAATTATACATCACCGTCATTATAGTAAAATATATGAAGTCAAATTCTTTATATCATATTATCTTACCATGTTATATTAACATATATTAGATGAAACTAGGTGACATTATATTAGGCGATGTCATCTTCAAACACTACATTATAATGCACTATGTCGTATTATGCTGGAATATATTATATCGACTTATGTTATGTTGTGTTCTATTGCATTCTGTTATATTGTCTGGTGTGATCATATGAAACGATATTGTATTTCATTGTTGTATTTTCTTCGATGTACATATCTACGCGTGCTACATTAGGTTGAACCTTCTGTTTATGCCTAGTCGGACGGCCTCACCAGCACGAACGCAGAAGCGAGATACACCGCGCGTAGGGACAAACACGACATTGAAGAAAAATTGCACCGAGCCTAGGCAAAAGGCGAAAAACGATCTGCGCCCAGGGAAAAGCAAGATTTCTTTAAAAACAAATTAGCACCTTGCCTTGGAAATATATGGAAATATTGCAGCCTCGGGCAACCTGATTACAGTCATTTGAGACACCCTGTTAGCCGTTTGAAAGATCAAAACAATCGGGTGCATGTGCCGGCATGTGCCAAAACCACGCACGGGTCTCCATCTTCAGCCGTTCAACCACCTGTCATTTGTAACTTCCTGGTCGGCTTTAGGACAACAACGTTCGTCAAGAGAGACGTTGAACAACGTTAAAACCCCTAGGGCGTCACAAATGACTGGTGTGCCCTCTGAAGGGCACGCCGTGATAAGGTGTTGACAGAGCTTGGGTGCACAGTTGACTTCAAGTGGTTTGCAGGTCTGGGGTGCATGTGGGGTTGTTCAAACTTGAAACCCCACAGGCTTGCCCAAACCCGCCTTTCAAATCTCATCCCCCCACGCTGCAACACCAGGTCTTCTCTCCGAAGAAGTACACAGAAACCGTCAAGCCATGAGTCCTGAATCTAACAGACGCCACGCACCCTATCGACACTGCGCGATATTGGACAAGAGATTGCAACAATGGCTCCGAGCCTGACGACACGGCACCCTCACACTCTGAACTTGCTAAGGGCAGCACTGAAAGGGCTAATGGGAGTATACAGTAAGACTAAGTAACCCAATTGCTCATTATTGCCGAAGCCTGGACGGACACTGTAACACGACCAAACCAAAAAGAGAGCTTCAAACCCGAAACCCTAAATCCTCAACCCCATAGCCCTCAGCCCTGATCCCGAAGCCGAAGCCTAAAGGCTGCAACCCTAAACCCCAAGACCCAAACCGTCGGCCTGCTCCCGCCGGCGGTTCCCCCTTGGCCACAGTGGCGGCACAGGCAGAGCCGACTCTTCGGATCGTCGTATGGCGGACCTCTCCGGAAGGGTATAATAGGGGCCTTAATCATTAGAAAAGGGTTTCGGGGTATATTCTGCTATAATTACAATAGGGAACCCCCAAAATAGTCTTCGTAATTATTTAGCCCTTTTTTACTTTGAGGTTTGGGGCTCTTGCAAGGGTTCTTGTTTAAAGGAACAGGGTTCTGTTGGTAGATATGCGGGTTTATTTTAAAGGGGGTACTGTGGTTAGGCTTTAATACACTCAGAGCATTGTGATGTTTAGGGTTGTTGGGTTTGCAGCAGACTTAGGGGTTTTGTGTATTTGGTTTTGGGCTGCAACCCTAAACTGCAAACACCTCGGTCCCAAAGCCATGCAGCCCCATGCCGGGAGGTCTTTTTGGTCGCAAGGGTTTAAGGCACTGCGTTTCAGAAATCCGAAGGCCCAAAATAACCAGAATTCTGAAGCCCGGACTGTTGAACCCTACAGGGCCCATAACCAGCACAGCCGAAAGCAATGCTTGGTCCAAACGCCACCGGCGCAAATACATCAAGGCTTTGAGCTTGGGCTCGGCATTTCGGGTGTAAGGGTTAGGACCTTTAGGGTTTCTACGCTGTTGCACCGCAATTTAAATATATCTATCGATCTGTCTAGTGTCTAGTGTGCTATTTTGCAAGGGCGGCTACAAGACAAGACCGTGCCTTTTGGCGTCCCTCCGAACACAGTGAACCTGATGCCCCCACATCCCGCATCACAATTCCGGGCCTCCCCATAACCGGCAAAGGACACGGCATCACAGAGAACATCCTCGATGAGACTGTGCTCGAACACGTTTACTTGCCTCCCGGCGAGGTTTGAGGGGTTGGGAGATTTTGGGGTTCAGGTGCTGGCGCCAAACAAAAAGCGGATGCGCCTGAAACCTGTAGTGCCTCGAGGAATATTGTTCGGCTTGTATGTATGACGAGCCAGGCTTCTTGACCTTCCAAACAGTCGCAATAAACTCAACCTTATACCGAAAAAACACCCCAATGCTAAAACGCGGCTCCCGGTGAATACATACTTTCATTGGACACGCTTCAAGGTGACGAATTAGACCTCAATCTTGGAACCAGGGTCATGCTTTCGCCTAGGCTCCGGCCAAAGCTGTCAAAGTTTCCCAGACAAAATTCCTTGTTTCCCCACCCTTCCTCAGACTCCTCAGTGACCTCCCGTAAACATGGATTTCGGGTTGGCAACCCCTGCCTGTTCTGCTGGAGATTTAGCGTTCACACTTCCTTTCCGCCCCTCTGCCAATCCCCCCCCCCTTGCCCCCCCAGCCCTGCCCCCGGTCCCGGCCACCCCCCCCGCTTCAAGACGGCTAGCTTACATCATTCGTGAGGTTGATGCCAAAGCTGGGAATTCTGGGGCCGTGTCTTGTACTTCGTTGCAATTTTTACAATAACGTCTATGGGATAATGCAGGGAATGTGCCACCTTTCGCGTGGGATTATTGCTCGAAAACAAGTCTGACATTCAAAAGCATTCTAAAGCAAATGCACCCATAAACTCAAGACCTCACCTCCGAGGTAGACGACGCGAAGCATTTAAAACTAAATACTTTCCAGAGAAGGTACTATCTACTCCACTCGAACAGCCATGTTCACGGTCGCACATGCTCCACGAAACTCGAACTCACCTCGTGCGTATGTGTTTAAGTACATGTGTGTGTGCATATATGCATCTGAAGTAGAGATAAAGAGCTTGAAGCAAAATCATTGCCTATAGTGTCAGAACAGAAAGCTATTGCAGTGCAACGCTGATATATCATATAAATTATATATATACACACACATACACAGATATGCACATACAAATGCTGTATAGTTAAACAAAACGAATGCCGAAAAACAAACTCATGAATTTAACCGGTTTGCATGCCACATTGATAAAAATCCTCTGAAACCTCCCATGTCATATCAAAGAGACCGAATCGACATTGAGACCAAGTCAACATTTCCTCCGGCACTTACTAACTCTTGTCGGCATCCAAGCAAGCTAAAAAATCTCTAAGTCCCAATTCACTCGAGTCACGCTTTGAAGGTCAATGGGCTCCGATTTGGGGAATTTGGGTTCAGCTTTACGAGCTTAGGATCTAGGGCTTTACGGTTCAGGGCTCAAGACCTAAACTCTAGGCGTCAGGCCTCGCGCTCAGCCCGGCAGCAAACGCGACTCCGTAAAAGACTCCACGAACAGACATCTCCTCCGTGTGGCTTGGAGTCTTGAGGCTTCGGGTGTGGGGTTTTAGACTACCGGGCTTGGGGCATGAGGCGTTCTGGCTCGAGCCCGAAGCGGTTCGGTAGTCGTCGGTAGGCGTTGACCGAGCCATTTGGGTATTCCGAACCCCAGCAACCTTGTGTTGCGCTGCTTGCGGGCCCTTGGTGGCCCCAACGTGAGGGCGGAGCCCTCTATCTGCACTGGCCACTTTTCTCGCTGCCATTAGACTCGCCGATATTGGTTTCCAGTGCATGAAAGTGAAAGCAGCCTGGGTGGCGCTTCTTCTCCTGCTGGTGGCCGGGCTAGGCCTCCTTTATATCGGCCACGAGGCGCCGGAAGCCTCCAGCTCGCAGTCCTCCGTGGCATCAATGTCTTGCCCGGTCCGGAGCACGTGTTCACTTCATGGCGCGCCCTGTGGCGTTTCTGGACCGGCTTACAGGCGGATGAACCTTGGGACGTCCAATACAAGCGAGCCTTCCCCTACGACGAGCATGCCAAGCTACTGCGACATGGCGAGGACCACCACTCGAGCTTCTTGATCTGGTCGCAGCGACGGGTGCTTTTCGTCAAATCTGTGCATCGGTTGCTTCCGGTGGTATGCTCTGGATACTTGGACGCCTTTGCTCTGTGGGCCGGATACTTCTACGCAAACTTATTCCGGATTCAGAATTATTTTCATCTGTACAGACCCGCTCTGGACCTATTTTCCTGGCTGCACACCCAAGGTGTCCGTGGCAGGAGTGGTCTGGTTCGCTTGGAGCCCTTTGCGATTTCGCAGCACACAGGAAACCGCTCCGACCTTGACATGACACTGCCAAGGATTGCCAGCTCCAGCCCAAAGCTACAACCATATGAGCAAGGCCTAGCAGCGAGAGGAGCCTGCTCCGCCATGCAACTTTCAATGCATCAATGCTATGGGATGGGGCAGACTCGCGAACGACCGAGCCCTGAGCTCGAAACGTTGGAACCAAGCCGTCAAGCCGACTCCAGCTTAAACGCAAAATGAAACACTCGAAAACAAAACTGCCGAAGGTTAGTTGTCTCGCAAGTTGCAGATCAGAAGTCGGGAAAAATCAAAAAAAGGATGCCAACCAAAGCACCTTTGCACTCTACGCCTTCGGAACCATCCCCCAATCTCGAAATTCCCGTTTCCTAAATCCTCCAATGCTGCATCCTCAAACCAGAATCACCCAAACTCCAAAGCAGCTCCTGCACCCTATACGTCCTAGACCCCAACACCCAAATTCCTGCACCGCTCAACAAGTGATGGCAAGAGCTGTCGTCTGCTTTGTCAGGGGACTTGCTAATCGCCCAACCACAAAAGGAGTTGTTCCCAGGAAAAACGCCTTCAGGTTGAGGGAATGGGGTCTGGGGCTCGAGCTCGACGGTTTTGAAGTTTAAGGCTCACGACTGAGCGCTCAGGGCTGGCCTACAATCCCACAACCCGAAGCTCAACCTACATGGTGAAGCTCTGAAAACGTCGGTCTCCCACACGGCATTGCTGTGGGAGGTGGGGCTCGCGAAGTACACGCCCACACCAGTTCTGGTACCCATGGCCTCACAGATCGGGAGTTGGAGCGTGCCCAGCTCTAGGATGCAAGAGCTTGCAAGAACCCCTAAAAACCCCATGCCGAGACATGCCCGAAACCGAATACCCTAAATCCAAAACCTAACCCAAACCTTGAACCCTGCAGCCCGAAGCCCTAAACCCTTTACCGTACACCCTGAACCTCCCACCCCAAACATAGAGAAATGCCAGAACCCTACCATAATCTATTTGTTGCTTCGGTTCCACTATAAACCTTAACACTGAGTTTCCGTAACGCATCCGAAAACCCTTGACTCCTTGACCTAGACGCGATTCACAGCCGTGCGAAAAGACGAAGCCCAATCCCAGAAAACAGTCTTACTCCTTCGCCCTGGACCGGAACAACCCCCCAAGAACAGCGCTCCAGTGTTAACGTTGGGGGTGTGTATGGAGGTGTCGGGCCTCCACATGGGAGACCTGCGTGAAGTTGCCATAGATCCCGACAACGCACCTGAAAGGACAGTGGGTAAACGCGCACAGCCTCTGACAGGGTGGCAGCCAAACCCAGCTCCTTCTAGGGTGGCAGGGCTTGCTTCTGCCCTTCTCCTCCTCCTCCCCCGCTGCTGCTGCTGCTCCGACTACCACCACTACCGCTGCCACTACCACACCACCACTAACAAAACCACGACCACCACCACCACCACCACCAAAACCACTGCCACCACCAATACAACCACGACCACCACCACAACCGCCACCACCAGCACCACCACGACGACTAATACTACTGCTACTACTAGTACTACTAGTACTAGTACTACGACTACTACTACTACTACTACTACTACTACTAGTACTACTACTCCTGCTGCTGCTGCTGCTGCTGCTGCTCCTGCTGCTGCTGCTGCTGCTACTACTACTACTACTACTGCCACTGCCACTGCCACTGCCACCACTACTACCACTACTACCACTACTACCACTA